ATGTACCTCCTACTTAGTTTTTCAGGACTTAGTTCGAGTAAACTGGCATTTCCTAGAAGAAAAAGAGACGTAACTAGAAATTTTGAATAGGCGAGACAAGTCTCTAAATTACAAATGGTGCTTTCGGCGTTAATAACCGGGTTAATAATAACGTTTATACAGTTATTTGCCAATTACCACAAATTTCCTAGGCATTTTCAAAAATGGCCAATGCAGCAGGGACAGTGAGCAATAGAGCTTGAGTTGAGGTAACATATACAGGGTGGCGCCTAGCGCGACGCAGCATAGGGATTTCAATGGTAATTTCTTTATAGTTAATTACTAGCTCCCCTAATTATTTTAGAGCAAAAGTCTAAATACATTTTTTTAGAGAAAATAATACTGCATCTGCTCATACCGAGATCTTGATACATTCATAATAATTTATAAAATTTCATAAACACCTTAATAGTCCAGGCTAAATAGCTCTAAAATAATTTATTTTCAAAAAAAATTAGTTACCGGGCGAAACCGGGTTTTTCAGACAGGTTAAATGATTAGAAATTGGGAAAAAATAATTAAAACATATCTTTTTCAAGGGGATGAAAAATCTATTTTTTTCATCGTACAGAGGTGCGCGAGGTAGCAACATTTTCGTAAGGACTTACATTTTAATAATAATTAAAAATAAAAAATATTATTCCAATAGAAAAATTTTAAGAAAAGCGGCAAAGCTGGGGGAACAGTTTTTAAGATATACACTGTTTTTGACATAGTAGGTAAATAGCTTTTTTTTGTAAGAATTAACGTATTAGATCCGCGCTAATAAAAAGTTTTTGAACTCTGTCTTCTCTCTCCTCTTTGAGGCCGCTAAAATATTTTCTTTTTTCTGCATTTTTACAGCAATAAAAGCAATTCGAAATAAAATCGAATTATTTTGCTTCCTGAACAATCTGTGTTTGTTTCGAACTCTTCTTCCTGCCTGTTTTACAGCTGATCCGATTACGCTGGGCCTGTTGATCGTTAATTTACAGGAATTATGGAATAAAATCCTCACCAAGCTTATTCCAGGTTTTACGTCTCAAATCATTTGCTTTGGCCGGTAAAACTAACGTTCGTATTGCTTATCAACAGACCCAACGCAATTGCATCAGCTATAAAACAGGCAGGAAGAAGAGAGAGTGAACAAATTTAAATTGTTCAGGAATCGGGAAGCAAGATAATTTGATTTTATTTCGAATTGCTTTTATTGCGGTAAAAATGCAGAAAAAAGAAATAATAAAGATGTTTTAACTAAAACAGTTGAGCATAGATAACAAAAGAGAATTTAAGCAAAGATTAACGAGAAGCAAGAAGACAGATTTCGAAAAAATCTTTATTATAATAACAACGTATATTGTGTAAATAAAACATTCAAAGTTTTTAACACTCGTCAACCGAAAAAAATTACAGAAAAAATTAACATCCAACACGTTGATTTATCATGTCAAAAACCGTGTACCTATATCTTAAAACTGTTTTCCAGTTTTTGGTGATTTTCTCAAATTTTTGCAATTTTTTTTTGTTTATTAGAATATAAATCTTCCCGAAAATTTTGCTAATTTTTTATTTTTAATTATTAAAATGTAAGTCCTTACGAAAATTTTGCTACCCCGCGCACCTCTGTACGATGAAAAAAAATTGAATTTTCATCCCCTTGAAAAAGAGGTGGTTTTTTCAGAAATAGTGAGATCTCGGAAACGGTTCAACTTTACGGGCCCAAAAAAATTGTCTCCTTTTTTTTGTCATAAAACAAGCTATGTTTCCTCCAAACAGACAGCGGATCACAAAAATCAAAATTATAAACGATCTCGAGGATTATTAATAAACGTATGTATACCGAAATCCGCAATATTGAATCATCTTACAATTAAATGAACCTATAGAATCTCGAGTAGAATCTACCCTAGCCGTTTTTTTAATGTTAACAATGAATTCGATATTTAAAAAAATTAAATATATTAACCGAGATTAATTTAACTTCTAACCAATTTATAAATTGGTAAGAGAGGATAATTAAACTGAACATGGTCCATTGTAGAACAGGTAATTTTAAAATGGTTCTTTCCCCACGCTCTAGTCCCCCTGTAGTACGTGGGTCCGTTCACTTAGCCCTCTCAATAGCACACTCGATAGCACAACACTGAACCTACTGTGCCCCAGTTGTGCTCTATTATGCATTTATATTCACGGTTTGTGGGTTTTTGGTGTTATAAATATTTCAGAAATTCAAATGGGGGCTAAGCGTTCACCTAGCTCCCTTTTAAATTTCTGAAAAATTAAACTTTTTCGTACTGAAACCAGGATATTGTACTTTTTTCTACCCAAAGTTACACAATTTCACTACACACAAAAGTAAATTGTTTAACAATTTAAAATTTTCCCTTTAACAGTGGAGGAAAGATTGCCGAGAATACGTGTTGATTTTTTCTTTCTTTCAAAATATTTGAGTGAGAAAAGAGGCATTTAAGATCAAGGAACCTAGTTTAGGTATAAAAAGGAGTTTAATTTTGGGGAATGTTTCAAAGTGTTTCCGGAACCAAAAAGGGACAAACCGTAAAAGCATATAAGCACAATAAAGCGCAATCGAAGTACCTACTATACCGCCGTTCTAGTATAAAAAAGCTTAATTTGGGGCGTTAACTTGACCCTGTTTTGTATTTCGATATACATTTCGTATACATACGTATTTCTGCAGCCAAAAAGGTACAAATCGTGAGCACACATGCAATATCGAGGGACAGCAGATAAAAAAGTGAGTTCATTTTTGGGATAATGGAGAGGGGCGAGGGGGGGGCGATCCTAAGTGGACGGACTCGACACGTCCCTGCAGAAATCCAAGATTTTCAAATGAATCAAGCCAACCTTTTTGATCAAACTAGTTTCAAAATTGGAAATTTATGGCGATACATATTTATTAAATATTGATTATAATTAATTTATTATTTGTTTACCTACCTGAATGCATAATCCATTTGTTTAGACGATCGACGTTCTGAATTGGAAATCTATACATTTTTAAATCCGGACATTTTCGAGTATTATTGCTGCACGTAACGTACTGGCACTTATGACCCGACATAATTAATAATTCTGGAATGCTGGCAACTCAAATACACTTATAATTATTGTTCTTATTAAAAAGTTGTTAAAAAAAGTACATACACAATTGTTTTATTTAAACGACACGACTATTGCACTAGGTGGGAAACGGAACACTAGAAATATTACTTGCAGTTGCACGTTTAGCGCCTGTTCTTTTCAGATGTTCGGTGTTATCATTTTTCAAGAGCTGTAAAGCTTAACAAAAAAATATGCAGATAGACCTTAAATTGGCCAGAGGATCAAAGAGTTCAAGCCGTACTGGCATTTTTCGTGTTTATGGTTTTATTGCATGGGAATACAACAGTGTTCTGTTTATCTTAAAATTTCAAACGTAAAGCGACAATGAGCCTATTCTTGCGTAGATCAAGAATTATAAACAATGAATGCTCCTGGTTTTGTTACTGGCATAATTGTGGGTGTACTGCACATATTTTATCATGCACGATGTGGTCAAGCAAATTTGATCGTTGTATAATGTATGTATAATGGCATTGTTCATAGGATATATTTATATAATCAATGATAATGGTGTAATTCAACATTCAAACTGTCGTTCGAGTGATAAAAAAGACAAATCGGCTATCGCAACAAAGAGCCAACATTTCTCTGTATGCATTTAAATTCTTATTCAGTGTCCGGTGATGTACTTGCAATGCAATGCTTGCATTATCAATCTGTACCTCCTTATAAATATACAAAAACTATTAGCCGACATGGAGCTGACCCGAAAAAGGACACTAACAAAAATTGAAAAAAAATGTTTGTATACCTATGTATTTTTAAAATTCCATCCATTGATTAAATACTTTATAGTTTAGCTTTAGACAATACCCCTTCCCGTAATCATTTTAACATAATTTTAATTTATAATTTACTTCCAGTCTTCCACCGAATAAAATCAGACATTTTATCTTATTAGTCTGGAATGCCACACTAAGGACAGAGTTTCCGCTTCAAATGAATTATTATTTAAAGGAAGGTGAAGGACGAGTATCAAGTTTCAAGTTTCATTTGCTTATTGTCATTCCGTGTCGCCATATCGTATACGAAGTGAGATACAGGTTTCTGTAATTTTACTGTTGTTATTATAGTTACCTAACCGAGTGTTCGCAGCGCTAATTTTGTACTTTTCTGGTAGGCCCCCAGAACTAATCTCCTGGCCCCCAAATAAGCGTCGCATGTTTTTAACATTGCGTGGCCGTACTGTAAGGTATAAATACAATGATATTACTTAACCGTGTACTTAGCGTGTGTGCCGCTTTATACGAAACGTTGCTGCAAGGTACAACTTTGCGATTAAATGACCTTCCCCCCAACTCCGCTCGAGGTGTTGCGTTTATCTCTTTCGCTCAAAATATATTAATTCCTGCAGCCCTTAACATTTTTTTGTCATTGATTCTATTCCGTGATCATATCATTTGTAATTGTCCTTTATCGATATGAACAAAACTTTTTAAAGTGTATCTTATAATAAGCGAATAAACGCGTCTGTCATTTTATCGCTGTAACGTTTGCGTAATTATACAGAAATGCATAAAAATGTATCGACGTATAGTTAAAGGTGTATTCTATCACATACGTAAACATTATCCCATTTGAGTGAATACTTTTTTTGTAATTAAATCCTAAAGTTCTGAGTTCGTATACTTTCATTGAAAAAGCGCGCTTTCCCGTACATATTTCACTATCACATTTTCCCAAATTTAACAAGAAATATGACATTACGTACGGATACGTAGAAATAGTTGACGATTATATTACGCTTTATTTGATAAAAATCGGTTAGGTAGTTTTTTTTTTATAACCGTTTAAAGCCAGCGGACTCTACATTTTACTCCGATTTAGTAGCTTGTGTCAAAGTTATTAAACATTACAATTTGCACGTTTAAGCTGTAGAACCCCTTCCTGCAATAAAATATTACTCCTGGTTGGTTCGGATCATTGGTTTTTGGAGCAATAATTGCAATTTGCACACAATCAATGCAACCAATAATACCAGGGAAGCCATTATTTACTTCTGCGAATCTGTATGAAGTGCCATAATAAGTATTAATTGTCATCAAATGTTTTTTCTTGTTTACCCAACTTTTTCTTGGTTCTTTTTTTCATCACTCAGCGGAAATTCAAAACGTTTACCATTAAATTGGTAACACATTTTTTCCCACAATATGTTATGTCTAAGCACGCCACCATCACTTATTCGTCCCCGACTTCCAATGTCCGCAAAAAAAAAACGAAAATCACTATCAACCAAAGCTAAAAGAACTATACTAAAGGTTTTTTGTATTCAGATCCAGTGTTAGTTGGGCATTGCATAACTATGTGCTTTCCATCGATTGTATCGATGCAGTTGGTAAATCTAGTGAATCCTTTTTGTATTGCTAGCCATTCCATTGAAGTTGAAGGCATCTGCAACAAAAATGTATTTACTTTGAATGTAACTGTAATTTTGTTTTTAATGTGTGTTAAAATATTTCTGTATATGTTTTTAGAACCAAGAGCCTGAAGTTGATCGAGAATCACAAAACCCCCTGGATAGTCAAAATGAGAATGATGAACCTGTAAGAGAAGTTACCCATGCCGTTCGACAACCGGTGTTATGTCAACCTTCCGCTACTTCAAGCACCCTACAACCACTTCGCCGATGAGGACAAATGCCTCCCGAAAATACAAGAGGCTGGGAAACAAATGAAAGAAGCGTTTTCATCGCTCAGCAGTATCATTAACAAACGGCCAACAGAAGAGGACGAATGCGATCTATATGGTAAAATGTTGGCGAAGAAGTTAAGGAAACTTCCTGAAGAGAAAAGGCAATTGTTTATATACGAAATTGATGGATTGTTTATCCAACGTTGCCGCTCATTATCTTTTCCTTCGCAGCATCGCCCAGAAAGATCCAATACTCCGTCCTCTTCTCACTCTTCAAATTACAGTCACTCCTCATATGTCTCTCAATCCGACACTAACTACTACTCGCAACCTCTTCCAAATCTGAGCCATTGTGGGGACAATATTGCAACTATCCCATTCATCTACACAGCCGAACATTGTAGATGTAACAACTCTCAATCGAAATATTATTGATGAAGCTTGTCGTGCTGCAAATAATCAGTAAATATTTATTAAATAAATGGAAGGAACTCAACAACGTGGGCGTCTTTACTGGCCGTTATGAATACAATACTGTATTCCCCAAGACTGCGCAGGGTGGCGAAAAATATACTGTCGAATGTAAATGGTTGGCGCCGATTTTAAAGCCGAACTGTTGAGAAAGGTTGCACAGTAAGTACGTCCGCAAATTATTTGATATTATCTAAATCTTGTTGATACTTTTAGGAATAAAGGTTTCCGCAAACCTACGCGGTCGCGGGCAATAGAATGCACACACTTTATACAGGCAACGCATACTGAAGCGTTCGAGCGGTGGCGGTGGAGATCAGTGCAGCGAACAAACGCGGCGATCTAGAGCGGTGGCGGGCGACCGCTGTACTCACAGTTGGCCCGCCAGTTCGCGCTGCATGTCTCGAAAGAAAATGACAGAACAACTAATTGAGTTAGTGAGAGGAAATCCAATTTTATACGACCTTACATGTAAGGAGTATAAAAAAAAAGATAAGGTATGGGATGAATTGGCCATGATACTGGACAAACCTGGTGAAGGTAAGTGTATTTGTTTATAGTTTTAGTACATTGTTAGGCATTAAAAAAACAAACAAATCTATCCCGTACTTCAAATGCCATATTTCAATCAATTGAATTCCGTCCCTGCGTCGGTCACGATTTCGCGCGGAACTCCATACCTCAAAATAAAATTATTTGTGAATGCTTTAGCGACTGTTTCTGCCTCCTTGTTCTCAATCGGGTACGCCTCGACAAATTTGGTTAGTTCACACACTATCGTTAGAATGTACCTGTTATTTTCGTTATCTTGGTTTAACGGTCCTACTAAATCCAAATATACCTTTTGGAAAGCTTCAGAAGCGGTTGTGGTAATATTTAATGGTTCTCTGTGGGGATTGGAATGTTTATATCGCTGACACATACTACATTTTTGTATAAATTTGGCAATATCGTCTCTTAAATTTGGCCAAAAATAAGATTTTTTAATATTGGCATACATACGATTAATTCCCGCGTGACCTAATTGCCGTGTTTCTTTACAATCTATTCGCTGTGCTTTGCTTATGACACATATTTTCAACTTAAATTGTGCAAGTAACTTAATATTTTTTCTTAGATGACTCAGAAGCGCTTCATTTTCTATACATTTAAAAATACACCACCAATTGGTTCAATATGGAGGACTTGGATCTAAGCACCCCAGGGACAAGCACCGATTTCGTGGCCCGAACAACAGGAAGGTTCTTCCTTGGTAGTGATTAAATTTTAGCCTGTTTCTGTTTGGTCGTTAAGTAGTCATTAAGATAAGTTTTTATAATGTTATTTTTTATTTGTATTACCAATGGAATTTATGGAAAAAAAAATAAAAAAATAATTAATTGTCACGTCATGCGCAAATCAATATTTAATATTCTTATTCCATTACACCGATGATTCCGATTAATTTGAATATCATCCATCACATAACCTGTAAAATTTTATATTTAGTACTTTCTCTGTAAAATAGATGCTACATTTGTACAGTTCATAAGTTATAAAAGTATATTGTATGTATATTGTGGTTCCAATTAACGAAATGAATAATAAAAATTATTTTTAGTTTATTTACGGTGTGGATTGTTCACACAAAACAATGCACTGTCTTATTGACAAATGACATAACCTAAATCGCTCAAAACTAGATTTGGCATTATTGCATAGTAATTACGTCATAGAAAATGATGACGTGCAACGGAAGTTATACGGAATAAAGTGTATACCTAAATTACCAACTTTCAATCATGGTCAATTTTAAGCGTTCCAATAATAGCCATATCATGAAAATTTGATATTTATGAAATGTGATTAATGAAACTTGTTTTTTTTTCAGAAACAATCGAATCGAAGGATTGAAACCTTCCCGCGTAAATTTGGATTTGCAGTGGGCACGCCTCCACAACCAATTACAATCGAATGTCGCTAGCTAGGGCACATCTTTGTTACAAAAAAAATCTCGCGCGCGGAGCACCTGTTACCAGCGACTTGATATTTGCCGTTAGCTGATTAATTGAAGTGCGCAATGCAACCATATCGGCCTGCGGGGGCGCTGTTTTGAATGGATGCGTCACGACTGCCAGGTTGGAGCTGGTTGGTGGTTGATGTGGACACCACAGTCGGGTTGAGGTCCTCAATTTCGTCGGCGGCAACTGCCAATTTCTCGAGATTGGAAGCTTTGAATACTTGCAGCAAACGTCGCGTGGTTGGCGGCAATAAGGCGAGCCATTTTACACGAAGGACATCGCCAAAGCTGCATTTGCCGTAGTCGCTGTGTGGGCTTGCGGTCGCCCAGATCGAGACCTGTAAGAGCTTTGTGCAATTGTCTATCAGAGGGGTCCATCAAGCGTGCAAGTATCGCGGATTTGAGGGCGGTATATTTCTCTGCAGTCGGGGGCGAACACAAAATGTCTGCAACTTCGGATTGGGATCAAGCTTCGCCATAGCTAGATTGTATTTTGTAGAGTCTGTCGTGATACGGTGTACAGCGAAGACGATTTCGACTTGTACGAACCAAAGTTCAGGATTCGCGCGCCAGAACGGTGGCAATTTACAACGATCCACGGAAACGGCGGTTGGCGAATCGACAAGATGGCGTTTTATCAGAAAACCGTAGACAATTGCGCGAAGGCGAGATAACCGAACTTCATTATATATATATATATATATAT